AGATTGACAGGCCTTTCTTCCAAGGTGCCTTTGGGCAGTGGCGTCTTTATGGGGGTGTGTGGGGGGGCGCAGGACACACCAGGTGACCCTGTCAGAGGGGGTGACACCAAAATGACTGTCTCTAAGGTTTTGTGCAGTGTTTCAGCAGAAATTTATTATTTTTTATAAAAATATCCTGGTAGTTATAACAACAAAAATATTTTTCGTAAGCCCAGCTTACATGTATCAGTATACCTACAAGGCTAAAAGTCCATGCTAATTTACTGTTTGAACCTTCCAATGCACAGGTCAGAGTTGTCATTACTACCCAATTACAATGGCGCTGGGACTCACGTGGTTTCATCTGCCGCAGCTACAAGCATGCACTGTTGTTTTTGTTGCTGCTGGTGTTTCTCTAGTCGCTGATTTTGTCAGATTTTCTGGTGTTGTAACTACAATATTGTGGTAATTAGTATTTCTGAACCTTTATCAATAACGTTTTTGAGAATGAAGTAGTAATTAAAGGAAAAGAAGGAGTGATATACGGGAATTACGATTTACAAGTAACATTAGTACAAAAAACATGACTAAAGATTCTGTATGCCCTGGTACAGGAGGAGTCCATGGAGGTCCACCAGTCGTAGTGAAGCCACTGCCTCTGGGTGGACTCGAACGTCCAGCCTTTCGGTTGGCAGCCAAGTGCATAATGGGTCAATTAGCTTTTGTGGGTGAGCCTAGGAACCTGTCTGTCAACATGTCTTAGTCATCTAGCGCTGCTATAATAGAAATACCACAAGTAGATGGCTTTAACAAAGAGAAATTTATTCTCTCACAGTCTAGTAGGCTGCAAGTCCAAATTCAGGGTGTCAGCTCCAGGGGAACGCTTTCTCTCTCTCTCAGCTCTGGAGGAAGGTCCTTGTGATGCGTCAGTCTTCCCTTGGTCTGGAAGCGTCTCAGTGCAGGAACCTCGGGTCCAAAGGACACGCTGTGCTCCAGGCACTGCTTTCTTGGTGGTATGGGGTCCCCTTGTGTCTCTGCGCGCTTCTCTCTTTCGTATCTCAAAAGAGATTGGCTTAAGACACTATCTAATCTTGTAGACCTCACCAGTATAACTGCTGCTAATCCATCTTATTACATCATAGTGATAGAGTTTACAACACATAAGGAAACCACATCAGATTACGAAATGGTATATAATCATACAATACCGGGAATCACGACCCAGCCCAGTTGACAGATATTTTGGGGGGACACATTTCAGTCCATGACACAACATAATATTGTTTCTATGGGGAAATGTGCTTGGAGTTACAAACAACTGGCTTAACCAACACACTTTTGTAAGCCGACCTGTCATAGATCCTGCCATGCATTGGGCGCTGCCTCGTGCTCAGAAAGGCTGGTCGTAGGAGACAGAGCAGAGAGCAGGCTCATTCAGCCTGCATCCTCTCAGACACAGTGATACCATTCCTGCCTAGCTTTGCATTTGCCAGGGAACAGTAGTCTCGAACGCATCAACAAAATAACAGTGGTACCTACCACAGGTAGATGTGAGGATCAAATGAGGGGGCTCTTTGGTATATGAAGAAGCCCTAGTGACGCAGTGGTTAAGAGCTCCGCTGCTAACCAAATGTTGACAGTTCAAATCCACCAGCTGCTCCTTGGGAACTCTATAGAGCAGTTCTACTCTGTCCTATAGGGTCGCTGTGAGTCGAAATCGACTCGATGGCAACGGGTTTGGTTTTCGTTTTTTTTTTTTGGTTTTTGGTGTATAAAGCAGCCAGTGTCATTCCTGGCAAGTAGTAAACATTTGATAAATGGGAATTGAGATTTTTTCCAGCACCTGAAGGTGGAAGGGGACGAGCTGGAGGTGGTGGAGAGTGTCATTGTTGCTCTCCTGGGCCCAACCTGCATTTACAGCGGGGCGAGAGTGTGGACCTGCCTTCAGGGTCTGCTTCTGCTCCGCCGGCAGTCCCTGTTTTCTAGCCTTGGATGGTCAGGACCAGGAAGTGGCCCTCCTCAGGAAGAGGCTCTGTCCCAGGGAAGCGGGCTTCCTTCCCTCGCTTCCAGGATTTACCTTCTGATCAGCAGTCCTCGTCCACCTGTGGCTTGGCTGCCCCCACCCGCTTCAAATACCAGCCTCCTGGGTCCATGAATGTGCGATTGCCGGTGAAGCATGGCTCAGAGTCAGAAAACTACGTAAGAGCTGAGTAATCACTACAGAAAGGAGCCCTGGTGGTGCAGTGGTTAAGTGCTCTGCTGCTCATTGAAAGGTCAGCAGTTTGAACCCACCAGCTGCTCAGCGGGAGAAAGATGTGGCCGTCTGCTTCCATAAAGATTTCAGCCTTGGAAACCCTATGGGCAGTTCTACTCTGTCCTAGAGGGTCACTATGAGTCGGGATCCACTCACTCAATGGCAACGGGTTTAATCATTACAAAAGCTGAGAAACACACACTCCTCTCCCGCCTTCCCCCCTTTCCGTCCAGCTGGGATTTCTTTTTGTCCCACTATTTGACTTTGCTCTCGGATAACTGGTGAGAGCAAGTTTATTCCGTGCCCTCTAGCCTCCGCCAAATCTGCCTGAAGGGGATTTTATTTCCGCAAATGAATCTTCAAAGGGAGAAAGGATTGCTAAGAAGCAGCCAAACTCTGTGAGGATTTTTTTGGGTTTTGTTTTTAAATGTTCTTTTCTTTCTTTCTTTTTTTCTTTTTTTTTTTTTTTTTTTTTTTTTTTTTTTTTTTTTTTTTTTTATGAGGGAGAAGGAGCTATTTTCTCCTGGCAAAGACACACTAACTGGAAAACCACCCTAGAGACTCGGGCCCTCGAAGAGGGAAACCTCACCAAATGGCCTCCTGTGCCTAGCTGTCTCGCCAGCTGTCTCCCCCGAGGGTCTCCCCCCAGGACCATGTGGTGGCATTCACATCACGGAGGCAGTTTCTGGTCAGACTGCCAAGACTTCTCCAAGACCCTGTGGCTTCAGAGACGCAGTGTCTGTAAGCATGTGTGGTAATAATGGATCACGCGTGTCAGACAAGCCTTCTTGTTGGGGCCTGTGTGTACCACACGTGAGTCCCCGTGAGCTGCAATGGGGGTGGGGGAGGGAGGCATCCAATTTCAGGCTTTGGCAGGCTTCATGCCTGGAGTCCTGCCCTTAGAAGGAGTTATTGTCAAGTGCCAGGCGCGATTTGGGAGAGCCTACCAAAGGAATCGACTCGACGGCAATGCGTTTGGTTTTTGGTTATCAAAGGAGAACGTGTCCACAGTCCATGGAAACAAACTTGCGTCGCTAGTCAGAGGGAGTAGAATCTCAGGAGCCTGGACTTACCTTGAAGGGGTGGAGAGGCTGCTCTGGACATGAGGCCTGTGGGTTTGGCCCTTTGTTACTTTGGGCAGAAATGGAGACAGAAACCATTAGAGAGGCCCAGACCACAGACTATGGCGTGAAAGTACCACAGTGTCCCGAACAACCAGAGTCAGCCAACCTGGAGGCGCCATCCGTGGCTGTGGCCTGGGCAGCAGGTGTGGGCAAACCCAGCCCACCAGCCTGAATGAGGATGGCCTGCAGCCTTGCAGTCACTAGCTCCTGTGGCTCGGGTGGCTTTTCTGTCTCTCTCAGATGCCTCTGGGACGGGACGTAGCAGTGGAGCCAGGGAGAATGGAAAGGAAAGGGGTGAGGACGGGAAGTCAGGAGCTGGGGTTTGAACTCCAGTTCTGTGCCTCCTGCTGCTTCATCAGGGTCTAAACTCAGTTTTCTAATCTGTACCATGAGAAGGCTGCCATGACCCAGAAGAGAACCACCACCCAGTCCTGATACGGAGAGGCAATTCCTCACCCTTTGCCTATATACCCGTTGCCCTCAAGTGGATTCTGACTCATAGCAACCCTACAGGACAGAGTAGAACCGCCCTATAGGGTTTCCAAGAAGTGGCTGGTGGATTCGAACTGCACCAGCAGGGTTCCTCCTTTTGCTATAAACTGTAACCATAACCCATTGCGGTCGAGTAGATTCCAGCTCATAGCGACCCTACGGGACAGAGTGGAACTGCCCCACAGAGTTTCCAAGGAACGACTAGTAGATTTGAACTGCTCACCTTTTGGTGAGCAGCCAAGCTTTCAGCCACTGTACCACCAGGGCTCCCCCTTTTACTATAGAACACTCTTTTTATTAATTTTTACACTCCTCCCTGGTTGCCATATTGAGTAAGATTTTTGTCATCCATAAGGCTGTTCTAAGTAATAATTCATTTTCCCATGTTTATTATTCAGTGACCTCCATCCACCAATCAGTGCCTCTGATCAGCAAGAGATAATCAATGTAATTAATTTAATTCCCACACATCAAAAATAAAAACAATAACCATTAGCTTATGCAGTCTTTATTATGATTAAATACACGAATACTCTTCCACATAAAGAAATGTTGGAAGCAACTCATGGGCCCCCATACCTTGGGACCTGTGATCCCCTGACTGGGAACACTGGACCTTGAAGGCCCCTGAAGTGCAGACTATCTGTCATCTATGACTTTGCAAGTAACTTTTTTCACACATGAAAAAAACTTATGAAGTGAATTCATAGGGTAGTAGTAAGAAAACTCCGTATTTATACACTAAAATGCATCCTACTCCAGTTTCTCCTTCCTTTCTTGGCGCTTTAGGTTTTTGTTTCCAACACCCCCTCATGAGCTCTCCCCTCTCTCTCGTTCCTCACATTTCTGCCTCCCTCTCTCTCCTCCTGGCCTCTGGTCTCCAGTCCTCCCACCACACTAGCTTTTTCTGAGTGCAGTGAAAACTGGGCTTGTCCCAAGTATGGAGGAAAGCCAGGGAGTACCTTGCCCCTCGAAGCTGAAACACACCAAGCCAAGACAAATCTGTTGGCAGGAACAGCAGGCACAAGAATCACATTCAGAGAACAAAAACAGCTATTTATAAAGCCTCCTTCCTGATTGCTGGGTGTTCACTTTCCCTTGAACCAAAGGGGCCACTGCCCCCTCTTGAAAAAGATTTATTCCGTCCACAGCTCCGTGCCTGAGGGTCACCGAGTGCCCGTTCCAGTGAGCAGTGAGAAGAGGACAGCATGAAGGGTGGATTAGATGTGGTGACAAGCTCTCTGATGGGCCAGGGCAGCTGGCCGTGTGGGGGCACAGATGGCCCTGCAGCACCTGTGCGATGACGATCAGGGGCCCCTCACAGGACCTGACATCCTCGCCTTAGAACCAAGTCCACCTGGCTTGGCTTTTTTTTCCCTCAAGCTCTTGATCTAAACGTTGGTTAACACAATTGCTTAGAAACTTTCCAAGGCACGTAGGAGTCAAACAATGTGACATGTTAACAGATAAAGCATCCTCAATATTATTATCATGCATCATTCAATTATAATTCAACTCTATCTCTAGTTACATTTGCCCTTTCTGTGTGTCTTTTGGAGCCCTGGTGGCCCAGTGGTTAAGAGGTCGGCTTGCTAACCAAAAGGTCAGCAGTTAGAATCTACCAGCTGCTCCTTGGAAACCCTATGGGGCAGCTCTACTCTGTCCTGTAGGGTCGCTATGAGTCAGAATCAACTTGACAGCAATAAGTAGAGTAGTAGTAGTAGAGTAGTGTCCATTATACCTGTTTGATTTTGCTCACCTGAAACTAGTTTACTATGTTCAACGTTGTTTTTGCTGTAGTTGCTGTGGAGTCAATTTTGACTCATGGCAACCCCATGTGTGCAGAGTAGAACTGCCCCATAGGGTTTCCTAGGCTGTAATCTTCAGGGGAGCAGATTGCCAGGTCTCTTCTCTCACAGAGCCACTAGGTGGATTCAAACCACCATCCTTCCATTTAGCAGCAGAGCGCTTAACCGTTGCACCACCAGGGCTCCTTCCATTTTCAGTAGCAGTAGCAACAATGCCACTGATAACTCAGCAAACCCAAAGGGGTATTAAGAGAGATCAATTTTGTTGTTTGTTTTTTAATTGAGATGAACCTCATGAACACTTAACCATACAGAAATGGCTCTTTGGCTACGTATAGCCCTCACGAAAAATACTTTCCCCAGATGTATATTTTCTGGCCTACCCACTGTTTTCTTTAAAAGTTGAACTACTTGGCAACTCTTAAAAATCAAGCAATTTTACATAGAAATACATATTTCTGGCTTCTCTTGAAAAAATGGCAGCTCTGGCAACACTTGGGCCTACACTTCAATATGGCGGCCGTCGTGGAGCACATGGGTCCTCCCCACACCGTCCTGTACTGTATTCTCTCAGGTTGTTCAGGGAACTTGGAGAAGTCTTAGGAATCATCTGGTTCAAGGCCTTCATTGTACAGATGAGGAAACTGAGGCCTGGAGATCCTGGTGACTCTCCTGGTGTCACATGGCGGCTGTGTATGGGGCCTGGGGCTGGAAGTCTGGGCTCCTGCCTGCCAGCCCAGCACGGTCTCCACCATATCCTTCTGCCCCTCATCAGCACGACACAGAACACCATCTTATGGGTAGCATCTGGGGTTTGGGAGGTTTTGTTTTGTTTTATTTTGCTTTTTGTTTTGCTCTATAAAGGGTTTTTTTTTTTTTTAATTGTGATAAAATAAATATAACATAAAATTTTCCATTTTAACCACTTTGAAGTGTACAATTCAATGACTTAATTACATCCACAATGTTGTGTAACCATTGATTGCACAAAACTTTTTTGTGCACTATTGATTTCCAGAACATTTTCATCACACCAAACAGAAACTCAGTACCCATTAAATAATAACTCCCCATTCCTCTGTCACCCTAACCCCTGGTAGCCACTAGTCTATTTTGGTCTCTATGCATTTGCCTCTTCTGGATGTTTCATATCATAAGATCACACAATATTTGTCCTTTTGTGGCTGACTTATTTCACTTAGCATAAGGTTTTCAAGCTTCATCCATGTATTAGCCTGTGACAGAACTTCATTTCTCTTTATGCCTGGGGTAGCGTCTGCTTCACCAGGCCTCCCACCCTAGTGCTGGCTGACACAGAAGGCCTAACTGACTATTTGAGTCATGAGCCACTCAAGGAGCCTGCCTATCAAAGCCCAAACCACAGAAAGGAGTATCTTCATTTCAAGGGCATCTAGTTATAGAAATAACTGTAGCGTATTCTGTGTAGACTTCAAAGCCCCCCCCCAAAAAAAAGTTTTCATATTTTGATAACTTCAAAAGTCCATTGCCCTTAAAACTTCCGAGATTCTCAGAAAAGGGCCGCCAGAAGCTCCAGGGGGTGGAGGTGGAGAATGGATAGGGAGTTCAGTAAGTTGCCTCTGCTGGCAAGAATGCACAGCGGCCAGCCTGGGTTACTTGTGGACATCCTTGAAACAGGCTATATATAGCTGTCAGGATGATGCCTGGATTTCAGCCCTAAGTGGCTGACAAATATGAAAGAACATTTTTAATTGTCTCCTTTTTCCCCCCTCATCTGTCAAATGAAAACATTCGACCAACTAGTTTGCAGTCGATGTTATTTTCTTTTAAACCCGGGGAAATTAAGGGAACCCAGAAATACTGTCCATCCACGGTGTCACTACTGTTATTTGCCGTTCCTCCAGGTTGCTGTGAGTCCCTTGGAGCCCAGAATGGGTGCACCTGGGGAGTTGACAGGCTGATAGTGAACATCAGAGTTTTCTGGACCTGGAAATCAGGGGTCAGGGCATCTGGTTAAGGATTGATTAGTCATCTTCAGCTGAAGGATGATTACGAAAGGGAAAGAAATGACAAGGCAAGCAAAAGTCAGGAAGAGAGAAGCAGAGAAAGCACTCCAGAAGCTATGAAAACACTCTGAGTTTTATTTTCTTCAAAAAGTCTTGGCTGCCTGTGATAGACCCCACACCACTCCTGCCCCAGCTCCTGAAGCCCTCAAGGGATGACCATGTCTCCTAGCAACAAGAAAGAACAGCAACTGAACACTCCCCGTGTACTAAATACCTGCCTGCTGCTTTAATTTGCCACATCACAATTTTGTTCGGTGGAGATTAATAGTCCCACTTTGTAGAAGAGGAAAGGAAGAAGGTTCAAGGAACTTAAAGAACGTGTCCAGCCCACAAATGGCAGAGCTAGGCATGAACCCTGGCCTTTCAGATTCCGAACGCCATGTTCTTGCACAACAGGAGATGAACCCGATTTGTCCTCCAACAAGAGCTAGGAGTGAAGGGGCTGGGGAGACATCTTCAAAAGAGAAGAAGGAACACTGGCATTCAGGCTTTCTGGTTGGCAGGAACAGTGAGACTGTGTCCCCCGTGTCAAATTGCAGGGTGTCACATGCCCATAGGCATTTACCAAAACTAAGGCTTTGGAAAGGTGATGGTGGAGGCAGTAGTGTTGGTGCTGTTGATGGTGAAGGAAGAAGAAGACCTGGAAGATGAGGAGGAGGAGACTTCACTTCAATCTGGGAAATACATGACACGGAAAGGCTTCCTCTCCCTCCAAATCACCAAATAACCTGTCATGACTCCATGCTATCTAGATCTGACAGTGTAGACAACCGAAGGAGTCCAGACTACAGCTTCCCGGTGTCTAGGTATGCAATGACAGTGAGATGAGATCTTGAGTCCCTTCTTGATCCCCTAACAGCTGAGAAGGGAGCCAGCCAGTAACCTGCAGGGAACCCAGCCAGCCAGTGGAGTGCCTAGCAAGAATATCCCAACACACACCAAGGAAGGTTTTGTCTTACCTCCTCTTACGCCTCTTAGCCTAAAGCCTGCCTCCACCACAGACCCGCCATCAATGGCTCTGACTTCAGTCATGAGGGCCCCTGGATCCATCTTTACCTGATCATCCTTTATCCCAATAGCAGGCTCTTCCTTCTCTGTGCCTACCCCTATACCTGCTGCCTTTGTTCCTTCAACCATTTTGGTGCCTGGGACAGAGGCAACCGAAATCCTTCCCCTTTGTATTACTTGAAAGAAAGGCTAGTGGCTATTTTTCTGAGCAACCAGATAAATGACCCACAGGAAAAGAGTGCTTTGATTGTTGACAAGCCACCAGCAACATTCAATCAACAAACTTTTAACGAATGTAGAGGATTGGGGCCTGTGAGTATAGAGGATCAGACTTGTTTTAGCGATTTTGCACATGTTACCTCATTTGATCTTCTTAACACTCCGTGAGTTAAGTATTAGCCAATCTTATGGGTAAAGAGCCACATAAAAGTCAAGTAATTTGCTCAAAGCTACACTCCCTATAGGGACAAAGCCACAATTTGAACCCAGGGCGCCTTGATTCCGTTCTGGGCTTTTTGCATGAGGCCACACTGCCCTCTCTAATCATGAGTGGCTGAAAATGGCCCACCTTGAACCTGCAGCGAAAAGTACCTGAAGAGTAATTTATATTTGTCTCCAGAGAATGGCACCAAGCCTGCCCTGTCCCCCTCTGTGTTGGGTATGGTTCGAGGGCAATGCCTCTGCCCCATCCCAGTGGGAGCTGAGAGCAGAGGTGCAGGGTGCCCTGTGAGGCACCTGGCTTTGCTAGGGGTCAGTTCTGGTCTCCCTGACTACCTGAGGCTCTGCAGATTCCAGACCCGGAGGTTCTTGTGGTATACTGACGGAGACTCCTGCAACTGCCCTGGCCACTGGGAGCAGGGAGAGGCGGACACTCTTCATCAGGCAGTATTTCCTAGGATGTGATGCAGCCACGAGAGCTCCAGCCCCCAGGTGCATCCATTTAACAACTTCCGGCAAAGGACAACCACACAGTCTAGTAAGGGTAATGAAGAGCACACCACACCACAGCACACAGCACGTCACTACCCAATGCAGAGACTGGCCAAGCAGGCAGCATGGGAGCAAAGCACAGGCTCTGGGGTCAGAAAGTCAGGGTTGGCTGCCCAGCCCCACCCTGCCCACCTGCTTACTAACTCTGAGACTTTAGGGATGTTTTTTAGCCTTTCCAAGTCTTAGTTTATTTCTGGCAATAGTATCTAACTCATTGGGTTCTTCTGAGAATTGAAAGTGCTAATGTATGTAAAATGTTTAGCAGAGTGCAAAACCAAAAAGCTATGGGAGTGGAATGCATTCACGTCTCACCAGAAAGTGCCTGAGTTAAAACAGGAGAAATAGAAGTTGTTAGATTTTGAACACATCATTTTCTATGGGTCAAATGTTAGTATTGGTGAAACCATTAAAAGTATATAAGCTCTGTGAGGGCAGAGATGCTACCTCTCTTCTTTATCGCTTACCTCAGGCCCTACACAGTGCCCAGCCCATTTGTTGTTGTTGTCGTTACTTGCTGTCAAGTCAGCCCGGACTCACAGTGACTTCATGTGTTACAGAGAGGACTGCTCCATAGGGTTTTCTTGGCTGTAATCTTTACGGGAGCAGATTGCCCAGGCCTTTTCTTCTGTGGAGCCACTGAGTGGGTTCGAACTGCCAACCTTTCTGTTAGGAGCTGATGGCAAATCACATGCGCCACCCAGTTTCTTTGCCTGGCCAATAGGAGGGCTCAAGAGATGTTCGATGGATGGATGGATGGATGGATGGATGGATGGATGGACGGAAT